GGCTGCCGCTCCAGGGCTGACCGCGCCTTCGGGTCCGTTACAGGCAGCGTAATTCGCCAGACTCGGATACATCGAGGTCGTCTCTTCCTTCACCATGTGCGGAGAGTGGCCATCGCGGAACACCACGGCCCGAATCACTCCGCGAATATGCTCGTCCGGCCACACGCCCAACAGAATCCTTTGCGGTCTGCCTCTGCCTTTCGGGCGTAGATCTAAACAGCCACGAACCGCGTGAATAGTATTTGCCTATCGAATCTGTCCGCGTTTCATCGCGACCGAACAACGATCTACCGTTTTTCTCCATGGATCGTGTTCGATTTGCTCGAGAAAATATCGCCTCGCCCGTTTCCTTTTTTAACCTATTCGCTACGGCGAACACGCGTTCTCGCCTTACCGCTCTACCTCCAAAGGATCGCGTTAAGAATATGCAACCGTTCGTCATCGATTTTAATCGTTTCCGGTATTTATGCGTGTAACTACGAGATTTCCGCGCTGTTCGGAACAATCGAAACGATCGAGAAACGGCAGTATCGTGCAACTTTTTTAAGCGAAAATGGCAACTAACACTCACCGGCGCCGCCATCCGCGCTAGGTCCCAGCATATTGTGAACTCGATTGGCGTACAGAACGAACGTCGGGTATGGGATGTCGTATTTCCTGCAACGAAATTCGCATCAAAAAATTATAAGATCCGATGGAAAAATTGATCGCGATTCAACGTAGCTAGACGTTACCACGTTTTGCTCCGTTGATTCGTGGACGAGAAGAACGTTAACCTCTTGCCTTATGCAAAATACATTCGACTCGCGTTGTACACAGCACTACGCTATTTTGATCGTTATCGTGCTGTACTGTTACACGGTGCCAAAACTTTCCATTTTACGTGTCACCTTATTTCAAACTGTTATATAATTTCTCGAAACGAAGAAGCTTCGCGCTTTTATATGCAAGTGTCGCGAAAGAAACGTTAAAAGGCAAGAGGTTAAAACGCGTCCTGGGATTAGCACGGTAGAAATAATCGTATCCGATAGAGGAGCCGATAATACGAATTCATTTTACAATGAAATCCTTCGGTTCGCTATTTCGAACTTATCTTCGCGCGGAAGCTTCGCGTTTCGCCTTTAATTTGCAATTAACAAGTTCGTTCCACGAACCGTTCCTCGGATCGAGCGCTCTAGCGTTCGCACAAAGGGAGAGAAACCTTTAACGACGAACGGCTTGTTATTACGCGCATGCGATACGCGTTTTACGACACGGTTGTAAAAGTTTTTAAGCCGAGACCCGGCTCACCGAACCCATACGGCCAATTGTTTTCTCCCTGTTTCGAGCCGTTTACATCCGGCACAGGTTCTTGCTCGGTACACCGAGATTCTCGCGATTAAATCGTTTCATTTCCTTCGAAACTTTAGCCACCGTTTATTTATTTCTACGCGGGCCGTTTTCTCACGACGCAACCGTGACTATCGCTCAAAAATTCACCTGCCCTCGTGGACCAGAGAACTAGAACCGCGGTAAAAGCTGTATCGTTACGAGACCGATCGAGGGTCCACGAGTTTTATGCTGCTACGCTACAAAATTTTCATAGAAATCAACGCGTTCCCTTTTGTCGGGCTCAACAATTTTCTTACGTAGTCGTAAAGAATAAGATTACTGGATTTTATGTCGCTATAGTTTATATCGTTGTTCGAAACTTTACGTAAGCGGTTAGTGCCTGTATTCGAAATGTTCTATTACGAGAGTATCCGTTTTTAAAAACCTAGTCTATCATATTGGAAATTATCTTACATACTAACGTTGTTCGTCGGATGGTTTCGTTACAAATCGGTCCGATGAACCTTTTACGGTTTAATTTGTCCCGTCGCGCCGCAAATATCCATCTAGTAATGAATTTCTTCTCGACGCTTCTCGCGAAATCGGTTAAAACGCAAATCCCGACGATTCGTTTAGTTAAGCAGCGTCGCGACAATCGATAATTCTTTATGCGGTTAATCGTCGAAAATTTCGTTTTATTCGGGAACAAGAATATTCGGTTGAAAGTTTCATCTTACCGCGCGGCTTGACTCAAGGACAATCCTTCCTTCAGGACGCTGAAGATCGCTTCCGCCATGGTTTCCGGCCGCCAAGACTTGAGCGGCCCACGCTCCCGGAAGCGCAGATTGTGCACCAGACTCTGATTGGTGTTCCAACACTTTTGCCACATGGACTGCAACTGATACTGGTAGCTGTCTGCTAGTTTACGCCCCCCGCGGAAAAGAGAAAACAGAAAAAGCACAGCGTTAGTAAATGTCTTGAGAGAGTTCTCGATAAATAAGCGTATCGATCGCGATCAACCCTTCGATCGGTTCATTCGCGGTAGTGTATACGTTTCTCTCGTTCCAACGAGAAAATCGAAATCGATCGAAGAGTTGATCAGCTGATTGTCGCGAGCGTGTACAAGACGAACGCGTGAGTAGTCGCGCGAGCAAGCGATGAAGAGATGCCGCTGGAAGGATCGAATCGCGAGGAAAATCCGTACGCGTTTCAAAAAGCAAAATGACCATAAATTGGGTGTACAAATAACCAGACGCAGGTAAGTGTCGATGGGTGTATCGAGTCGCTCGGTTAGGTTCCTTCGTAGCTGCTCGGACGAAGAGTACCTGCGAACAAACTGTTGAAAGACAAAAATTGTGGCGGGGAACAAGGGCAAAGAAAAGGAGCAATAAACGTTAAACGTGTCGATTGTATTGTCGGTATACGGCATACGATCGTTACAGAATAAAAGAGACAGAAGAGTGTTCGTAACGCGGAACATGGAGGTTTGGTCGTCGATAGAAAATTCATATTTTTTCTCTCGCTTCTTGTTCTTTGCTTAACGGTTAAACGGTAATTGCGAACCATGCGACCGTTTGCCTTCGCGAGCTCGCGTCGCGATACATGCTCGAAATATACCGGCTACGCGCCACGGACGGCTGGCCTCAATTCGCAACGATTATTTAATAGTTAACTTATTGGGTTTAATTGAGCATCCTCCAATTTGACGATTAATACAATTAATTGGAAAGAAGCGCGCGCGTGCGCGTGTACCGAGGCGCACGCGTCTACCATCGAGAGACCGCGAGTCGCTTCTCTTCGCGTTGTTCGTTTTGTTTCGTTCCGGTGAATCCATCGAGACGCGTTCGTCGACTAGCGAACCTTTCGTCCTACTATTTCGTCCTACAATTATTTTTACATCGACCCTTTCGAAACGAAACAGAAATTTCTTCCCAGGCGAGAAAATACCCGGCAAAATAATTATTTCAACCCGAATTATCACCTCTTTTCTACCTTTTCTCCGATCGTTTGTTCGTTCTGTTTGTTTGGTCGCGGGACTCGCGAAATTACGTTATCACGCTCTCGCTGGAATTCTCCAAAGTATCGTAATGTCGGTTTCCCGTTATTTCGCGCGAAAGATCAATTAACGCCCAGACATCTGCGCTCGAGGAATCGCAGGCTCGTCGTGCACGCGCGCTTCACAAAGCTAAACTATAGTTTCGACCGCGAAACGTGAAAACAAAACGGAATGAAACAGAACGATATTTTGACGCTACTTAATTCGCTAGCGCGAAACTACGGAATTACGATACGACTAAATGTTCGTTGGGATCAAGTTCACGGGCGTCGAGTATTCTGCCAGGTTTTTAATAACGTTCAAACGAATTCCTACTTCCACGATTGTATTCGGTAATTTCGAGCGTACAAAGTATCCCAGAGGTTTTTCCTCGAAAAACAATTCTACACCAGATCTAATCAAACACTGTTTCACGTTTGCCGATTGTTACGTACAGGAAAAGGTGCAAAAGTAACTTTGTACGTAGAAAATTCGCGCGAAGAATCTATAACACGATTAACGAAAGTTTTTCGATCGAATCGGCGATTTCGAAGTCGTATCGAGGTACGATCTTTGGCGATTCGTGACCGTTCCGCTTCTTATTACCGAGCAATTTTGTCGGGGAAAAACTTGGAACACTCCGTATATTGGTACACGACACTGTTCGAACAGTAAAATATTAATTTTTTTTGCCCGTCTGCAGAAACGAATGTCATTCAACCGTACGCGTTTGCGCAACATCCGCTAATCGAGTCGAAATAGTTTTACCAACGAACATACGCACACACGAATTATATTCCCCGAGAAATTCGAATAATTTTCAATGTTTCGAAGTTTGTTCGCGACGAGGATCGTCAAAGTCGGTGCTCGAGCAAAGTTATTCGCTTCCAACACCTTCGTAGAAAGCAAATATTAACACTTTGACGGTCGAGCGTTTCACGGGATCTATGACTCTTCCACCTAATTCTGTGTTCCTTTTTTTACGTCGGTTAGAAGCGTTAACAGTACGCTGCAAAATTAGCAATTTTTAAACGACAGTTATCGCGGGACACGTTAGATAGAGTTACGCGGGTTAAAAGATACGCGACACCGTCAAAGCGTTAAGTCGTTGCGAAAGTTTCGTCCGATTTACGGAAAGCTTCGAGTAACGTCTCGTGCCGTGTTACAACATTTTTTAACGGCAAAGATCGAAAAAGTGGCTCTAATGCTTCGAATTTAACCGTAACGAGTTTTCTCTTACCACGAAAGGAAGTTAATAAACCGTAATAACTTTCCGAAACGATCTTAGCAACGTTGCCGGAGCACGAACGACGAATCGTCGAGTTCCTTCTGTACCGCGAGTAGAAAATTATTTGTCGAAAACGACGAATCGCGACGACTCGTGCCACGGTCAGTGACACTGTACGATCGTGAAATTTTGAGATTCGTCGATATCACAATTTTTCCGTGGTCGAAAGCGACGTTTTCGCGTCACGATCGTCCAGCGTCGAACGTAATACGACGATGGCCGAGTCAGCGATTCGAAAACAAAGGATCGAATTCGTTAAATTACACCGAATGGAAGACGGTCGAACGGAAAGGCACTTTCTTATCGCTAGAATAATCGTTAGCCGCGTAATACGTTATTATTGCTATTACCATAAACGTCGCTAATAATCAGCGTTATCGTTATTGCTAACTACTTACTAACGCGGTTATCGGTCCCGTGACAAAGGCACAAGTTTCGTAGAAAAAAAGAAGTTTCATTTCGCGAATGACGGGAATGCTTAATGGAATGTTAACGATAAACGGTCGTTACCTCGCAAGTCCGTATCGAAAGACTTTGGAACGACCTTACGCGCGAAAAGGCACGATTCGTGAAAGCGCGAGGTTTCTTTCGTTTTCGGGAAGAAAAAATCGTATCGTCGTATCTACAAAAAAAGAGAAAGATAAGCTACTGATCGTTTTCGTTTTCGTCGTTGAAGTAAAGCGAGACTATCGAGTGTTTTTTACAGAAAGCCCACCACCAGCGGAAACCCGAGAGACCGTTAAACACGAAACCAGGATCGCGTTTACGCCTGAGCTTCTCGACGAAGTTCAGGATCGCGTTCAAGGATTTTTTCGTGCGTCGATTGTACGGACTGACGCTGATGTCGCAGCAGAAGTCGAGCACGGCCGTTTCCTCGCTCGAGTTTAAGCCCGCTTCCTCGAGGACCATCATTCTCTTCGTCTTTCCCAGGATGTTGTCGTACAGTGTGCCTTTCGGTATACCGTATTTCGTGGACGCCTGGGTGAAGCGCATCTTCTGAGTGACCACGGCCTCGATCGCTTCCTGGAGATCGTGCCGCGTCCACGTGGGCGCCTTCAGCTTCAGCAGGCTCGAATAGTCAGCTAGAAAATAGTCAGGGATTTTTCCACTTTTTTTTGTTTCTCTCGACCGATGCACCTGGTGGCTGCGCCTAACACGGATCGATCGATCTTGAAGGTAGCTGGCCGACGGAATACGCAGTTCACCCGGGACTACATTACGAGACAATGTCCAGCGGAAAACCCACCCTTTTCCCTTCTTTCTAATTCCTCGATCCAACCCTTTCCCTTTTTCCTTCCTCATCGTATCTCTTTCTCCTCCTCTCTTTCTGCTCTCTTTGCGCAACTCGTCGATCCTCTTTTTTCTTTTCCTCTCTTTTCTTTTCCTTGCTTTTCTTTTCTTTCGTTCTTTCGGTTTTTTTTTTCATTTCGTTCCTTGTTTGGACAAGAAATGAAGGCTTATCGCGTCGAAGGGACGGTAAACGCGAGCGTGAACGCGCGAAAAGGACGGAAAGAAAGGGACTGCGACAGAGCGGCGAAACGATGAGACGCAGATCAAAGTAAATCGTCGACGAAACGCGTCGATCTTATCGAATAAAATAAATAATCGCGTTCTCGAGCGGAGGCGTTAGAAGGCTTAGAAGTAGCTACCTCGTTTCGCGAAAGTCAACGTCGACGTTTGTCGCCGAAATGAAATTACCCTCTTTTGTTTTCGGAGCAACGTTCCGCGGTCGCGGCTTTTTAGACGCGCGGCGACGATCCTCCGATAGAAAGGCGATCGATAACGCGGCGGAGAAATCGTTAAAAGATATCGAACCGCGAAGGTTCCGCGCTCTATTTCCTGCACCAATCGTCTCCGTTGTTTACGAATATATCGACGTATCCACGATTTCCCGTTGTTCTCGAAACGAACTACGGAACCCGAGGGGCCTCCACTCCGGCACGGACAAAAAATCGGGTCAAACTCGCGAGAGATTAATTCGCGGATAATTCGAATCCGGCAAGGTATTACGCGCTCGTTAACGAAGATTCCGTGCAAGCGAGACGAGTCGGATGCTCGAACGACGCGAATCGCGAGCGCGTTATCGGTGCCATGAACGGCTGGCCACTTGCCTCTTTATCTAAATCGTTTTCCGTATTAGAGCAAACCGCATTCTTGCTCTTTATCATCGACGATAAAGTCGCGATCCTTTTCTGCGCCTGCATCGCACCTACACTCCTTTCCTCCGAGCTCGTTCTTCCTGACTCTCCTTCGTGTCTCCTCGGTCACGTGTTCACGATCTTCTTCGTGCGGTCCGTTTTCTTCCAAGTTTTCTTCCTGAATTTCCTCGATCGACGTCGTCTCACCGTTACCCTCCGCCGTTTCTGTCCCGTTTCTTTCCTACCCTCGTCTCTTCTTTCTCTCGGCCGACACGTCTCCGTGTCCTAACCACGCCGATTCGCGAGCTACCGATCGGCAACGCGTTACCGATCTTCCGTTGCGCGGATACCGAACGTTATCGCGACGAATGAACGAAATCGCGGTGATACGGATCGCGTAACGCTATTCGTTTCCTGAAACGTGCCGTCGGAACGGCGAACAACGGATTAGGTAGACGTGGAAAATTTTGTACAACTTACCTGCTATACTCGACGTGGAGGCTCCGAGCCAAGCGTGGGACGACTCCAACAACTTGGCCTGAAACACAAAAACAACGGCGAGGTTAATAACGATCGTTGCGTCGAGAAGAAGCGGAGAAAAATGTCGAGACGACGGAAACGGTAGCGCGCGGGCAATACCGCGGGGAACCGGCATGGCAGGCGGTGGCGCTAACGAGAAAGGGTTAACGTTCGAGACGGTTTCTGAAGGGAAAAAAGGGTACGGCGAGGTGGTCGAAAGATGCTCGTCCAGAGGCTCGCGTCTCTGTCGACAACTTTACTAATATGCGAGTTTTTCCGGATCTCTAGAAGGGGGTTGCGAGACGCGGCCGAAAGCGCAAGACACACGCAAAGTTGGCTCATTTGAAAAGTTTTGGTCGATGGCTCGCGATTTTTCGCAATACCGAGATCGGGGATAGCCTACCGAGACCTCTGCTCATATACCGCTTCGAATCGTTTCCAGGAGCCGCCACTC